GCAAATCGTAGTTCAGTGGCAATAAAAATGACCAAAAAGAAAATAAGACAATTTGAGTCTGCAGTAGGACAATTCAGATTGTATTTTCTCAATTAGGTTGAGATTGTATTTTTGTTCCGACTTTCGATACGAAAGTAACGGAATATTTGTGCTCGGGGTGGCTGTTTTTTTTTCTTCAGACAAATTTCGACTTTTTAACTAGCCAATTTTGATTGATTTTTTAAAATATCATTCGAAAGGTATTGTTCTCCTGAGCTCAAATTTGAATAAATATTTTACCTGTGATCATTTTTCGTAAAGTTACGGGGGTTTAAAGACTACCATTTTGGCCAATTTGGGACAATTAACGCGCGATATATTTCGCGCTATTAATGCGTAAGCGGAGAGTTAATCCGTCTTAGAAATCGTTCCAAATTGGTTGAAAGAACCTTATTTGACATTATTGATTTGTTACAAGGAGCGAAATCTATCCTTTTGTACTTAATATGGCGTGTGGGGATGATTTTCATTAAAAAATTTCAAATTTGAGATTTTTTTTTTTTCATTTTGTTTTGTTTCATTTAATTTTTGATGTTATTACTGCTCCATAAACCTTAAAAGGCAGTCGGAACATTCAGGGCTTCGCCTTGATACGAGCAGTCTTGTTTTTTTTTCAATTCAATTGAGAATACTTCATTTATCTGAATGAATGTGTCTAGGTTTTTCAAATTGTTGAATATGTACAAGCCTATCAGGCTGTTTCGTAACCCCGCAGTGGCTTGAACGGAACAACCTTACGAACAACTTTTTACTTATTATCTTAACGTCACTCGTTCTTAATATTTGGAATTATAAGTTTTGCTTGCAGTCACTTTTAATTGTCTCAGATGGTAAAACTTGTGACTGTTGAACAGAAGGTAACGTTTTTAATCGAGGTGGGAATCATGTAGAATGCTATGACATTAGGTAGGTGTAAATTTGAGGTAAAAGATAGGTGCAAACAGCCAAAAACCTTGATGCAACAGGGCGCCCTTCTCAGTTCAGAGTTACACACGCGAGCTAGCGAGCATAGTGATATATTACGAATCAATTGTTTTTGCAACCCAACTTGCTAAAAATTTTGCTCATATTGCGGTATGTTTGGTGCATATTGAAGCTTGGAGTTAAATAGCATCTGCAGCTGCGTTATTGATTGCTAGTGTTGATATAACTGCAAATGGTCATGGCGCAGATGCAAATATGTGCGAATTCTAATCTGGAGATTGGAAGTGTGATTCCGGCACATAACAAAAAAATTCAATTTTATTTAGTTGCGCTTTTGCTGCATAGTATTCGCAGTTTACTAGAAACAGTAGCTGCTTTTTAGTAGCTAGGCTAGTTAATTTTTAAGCGATCATGGCTCAGATACGATAAGATGACGTGAGAGACTATTAATTAAACTTTTCTAAACATTTGAATTTTTATTTTTTGTTTCTTGTTAAATTCTAAAAATGAAATATTTTTAGCTCATAATTTTTGTTGTTTGCCACATAAAACTGTTTTATGATAGATGATGGCTTTCGCCAATTAAATTAGCCAGTTTTTGGAACAAGTAATTCATGAATTAGAAAAACCACTTCCCCAATGTTTCATTTCACATTTTTTCTGGGCGTCCATTAATTGTCCAAAAACTGAGAAGAGTCAATAAATTAACAGCAAGCTTTGATTTTTCTTTGGTTTTACAATCCAGCTTGAGGTTCCATGTTCTTGATAGCCGGCAGAGTTTCCGGGGATGGGAGTGAAACATGCCCTAAGGCAAACTTTGTCACGCATTTCAGGTACTCCAAAAAAACTTATATACGATCTTAAAAAATACCATATGAAAGCTTTTTCAGTCGTAATTAGCATCTCTAAAATAAATTTCCCATTTTTATCACTATAAAAAATTGTGCTGAATATAATTACTCTTCAGACTGAGTGTCCGATGGCATTGTGAATCAGGTACGTCAGCTCAAATGGGTTATCTTGGCAAAGTTTCATAATTTTTGGAGTGTACTGGGATTAAATAACAATATCGGTCGAGACTATCTGCCAGCGAAAAGCGACAATTTTTGTTTGCATAAATCTGCCGAAACATTTTTTTCCCTTATCTTGCTTTAAATGAAAAATGTAGTCTGAGGGAACTTTATGTTATTGTTCATAGCCATCTGGTTGTTCCGACCGTTTGAAAAATCCACACAAATCAGCTACTACAAATAATCATCGGAGAGAGTTGTTTGATATATCACATTAAGGCCCTTACAACCACAATTTGAAAGATATAAAAAAATTTAACAAATTTTCTCAGTGTCGAGAAAAACCAGTTTGAATTTTTTTGGTTTTTTGTCTTAATTCGAGAGAATAAAGCGAGGCTTACAATAGCTAATTTTAATGGCTTAAAAGCTTACAAAAGTTTAATTTAAAACGCTAAATTTTAGTTTTACTCAAGTAGCGTACGTTTTTTGCGAGTATTTTGGCACATTTTTGAAATTGTGAAATTGTTTTTGAAATTTTGAAATTGTTTTTTATTCTTTCGTTTTTCTAGTTATTTTTCTACAAAAATTGTTTTTCATTTTTAATGGCTGTCGAGTATGCCTATTCTCCAGTTTTCGTTCAGCTCCTTTTATCACACCACTCCGGAAAAAAAATCGACACTAATTTGAAAAAATAACTTTTCTGTTGTATTTTTTCAAGACTGGTCAGAACATTCTGTGCTACTTTTGAACAGTAACCGGCTATTCTTGTTTCTTTGATATTGTGTGATGTGGAAATATTGAGCTATTTCTTGATAGCTCCAGCTTGAATTTTACAGGTTTTCGATGCGATATATAATCAAAACTAAATTTTGCGTCTACAGTAATTGTAACAAGAAACTTATTGATGAAACTTAGCGTGATGTTATGCTGTAAAAAAACACGAGCTAAAATTGACTTTCGGTAGCTTTTTTCTCGTTGTTCTCATCTTACGGAGTTTTTGTGCGAAGTCAGAACTGTTCGAGAGACTTATGAGAAATTCCAGCTGTATCTGAACAAACGCCTTTGTACTTACGGATACTGGTTATTCGTTTATACAATGAAATAGCAAAAGTTCAGAAGTTTTTGGTGTTCATGGTATTCAGAGGAAATCAACTGTTGAATTCGTAAAGTTTTCCGTTTGAAGTTTGAATTCATGACATCAATAGCTTTCAAATGATAACAAACAAGACTGCTCGTATCAGGGCGAAGCCCTGAATGTTCCAACTGCCTTTTAAGGTTTATGGAGCAGTAATAATAAAAAAAAAAATAAATGAAATAAAATAAAATTAATTTTTTTTTCTAAAATTTGAAACTTTTTATGAAAATCATCCCCCCACACGCCATATAAAGTACAAAAGGATAGATTTCGTTCCTTGTAACAAATCAATTATGGCAAACAAGCTTCGTTCAACCAATTTGGAACGATTTCTAAGACGGATTAAATCTCCGCTTACGCGTTAATAGCGCGAAATATATCGCGCGTTAATTGTCCCAAACTACCCAAAATGGCAATCTTTAAACCCCCATAACTTTACGAAAATTGATCACAGGTGAAATATCTTTTCAGATTTAAGCTCAGGACAACAATAGTTAATTGTCCCAAATTGCCCAAAATGGCAATCTTTAAACCCCCATAACTTTACGAAAATTGATCACAGGTGAAATATCTTTTCAGATTTAAGCTCAGGACAACAATAGATTTTGAATGATATAAAAACAATTCCGTGAAAAATGGTTAGTTAAAAAGTCGAAATTTGCCTGGAGAAAAAACCAACCCCGAGCACAAATATTCCGTTACTTTCGTTACGAAAGTCGGAACAATAATAATTTCGTTAAAATGGTAGTTCGAATAGTCGAATCTTCTATAAGGAATTTTTTCTATTACTCGAGTGAAGTAGCCCAATTTTCAGCTGTCTGTTGTCTATTTTTCTATTTATTGTGATTTTCGGAATTGGAATGTGGCGAAACTTGTAGCTGCCGTGGTCGAAAATTTCTGAGCCATATGTACAGCAATTAGACATTTAGACCCCTTTTTTATTCAAACGTTTTTTGGGTTTTTCCTGTTACTGTTTTTCTTTAATTATTCCCATGAATGTTTTGACAAAAAAAAACAACTAGACCAACGCTTAATCGTGAAAATATAGCTGTGGGATGATAAGGATTTGATAGATTTTAATTTTGTTTTGCTTGGCCTTTGTTCAGTAACCTGCTGAGTATCCATCACCGTGATGAACACGGACCTCCCTGATCTGGTCAAACCCGGGGGGTGCTTCCTTTGTATGGCAGTTTTCTACCCATCATTCCAATCCGCTGTTTAATCTAGGAATTATAAATGATGTGTGACTATTTGCATTTGATGAATGGCTCAAATTAAATCTGGGGGCTTCCCAGTTAATGGATTTGTCTTTGCTTTCCCCTCTTTTATTCATTTAGGATGATTAAAGTCCATTACAGTACAAATGGGCTCTCATTTCCAAAGTCAAATCAATGCTGGTTGCGAGATGAGTTTATGATGAACCATTAAGATTATTTCAAAATAACCAATTCGTAATCAATCCCTTCTCGCTAAAATTGGTTGTAACAATAGCAGTGATCAAGGGATGGCAAAAAAAAACAGATACGATTGCTCAATTAAATAATTAAAACGAGATTAAAATGAGGCATGTAAAGGTTCAACATTGTTTGGCACCACTGGCAGATTTTTGCTCAAGGTCAAATGAAGTAACGTGAATGGATATTCGTTGATAAAACTTGTACAAAAGAAAACGATCAAAAACGGTATCTTCAGAATATTGTCTCTGAGTTTCTCGAAAAATCAATTTTTCATTCCTAATAAAGCTAGATTGCAGGATTTTTAAAATTCATATAGTTCCCCCACGCTGTAGAAAATGTCAGAGCCATTGATATTCACGAAGGAAATCCATGTGTTTTTTTACTCCGAGGAGTCAACGATCACCGTGTTTGATGATGATAGTTTTGATGTTTTAGAAGCAATTGACGTATCTATGCATTCAAATTGGGGATAATCCGAGCAGTCAAATGTAAATATAAATTGCTCTATTTCAAAAAAGTTTTTTTTTGCCTTGGTTCATAGATATGTCTTTTTAGCCAAAACCATTTCCGGGAGGCTGTTGACTTTATTCACAGAGCCCGCGTCAATCAATGTGGAGTCCTAGTTCACTGGTCAGTAAACAATATTATTTTTAGAAGACAATCAATTTTATTTTTTAGAACTTTTTACGACGTTACCATGTGTATTCGTTCACTTGAAAATCTAAATAGCTGCCATATGGTTGGTAAGAAAAAAGAAGATGAGAGCAGAAAAAACTAATTAACCTTGTGAATAGTAAGCGCTATCAATTCGGAACATATACTTGTTAACAACATGTTGGTTGCAAATTAACTAAAACCAATTTTGATTTATTTTCGTTTTTTTTTCGGCTTAAATGGTTTCAGTTTTTATTGCTTCATATTGCGTCAATGCAAGGGTAAAATATTTTTTAATGCGTGGATGTGATTTGGGTCGGAGGAACTTTGAAAACTTCGACTGTCCAAGTGTTTTAAAGCTTAAAAATTTTCTGACCACTTTCTTTTGGCGCCGCCGGTGTCTAACCAAGTATTGCCGACTTAGTAGCCAAATTAACTAGCGATAACAGGAATGCTAGTTAAACACTGGCAATTGTTTTTTTTAATGTTTCTTTTCCCAAAAACGAACATCATCAGAGACAAACATTTGCAAACTTTGTCAGACTTTTTCAAACTTTTGGACGTAGTGGCTGGTTCTTTTCTCTTTGGCCTAGCCCGCCGTACTTTATTTGTAATTTATTGCAAGTATTGGGCAGCTTCGTTTCGTCTCTGGGTTGAAAACTGCACAAATAACACAGACCGTTCCGCCCACAATAATCAGAGCCAACCTATCCTGATAAAAACTTTTTAATTTGTCCATTTTCATAAAAACTTTAGGCCTTTTCTGTTTATTTTTGATGTTTGATTTTTTTTTGCCTAATTAGGCGATATTGGTATTTTGGAATCATTAGTCAAAATTTGATGTTTTCTCACTTTAAGTTATATAAAAACAGTTCATGGTGAAACGAGACTATTTTTAGCATTCTCGTGAGAGCTTTTAATGTTTTTTTTTTCTGGTGTGAACCAATACTAATTTAATGGGGGGTCTGATTGAACAGACTAGCTGTTCGATTTTTCCCTGCATGAATGAGCTAATGGAGATTAGCTTCGCTCGAGTCTTATTTGTCGACTGGCTCTATATTGCTCGTCCAATGAAATTTGGAGCTTATTATCACAGAAGACGTCTGTTCGTTTCTTCGTGCCTGATGTAAGCTTCGAAGACCGGTCGTTGCGAAGCATCGTTTGTGGAAAAAGACAACGGGAATAATCTTCGGGTCAGAAATTGGTTGTGTCAGCTGAAAATCGTCCTCCAAATCACTGCTGGGTCAAAGGACGCGAACAATTCGAAAAATTTTTGAAAAATCAAGAAGCTCGTTTCCACCCGATCAACCCCAAATAAATCTCGATCATTGCCATATTATAAACCATCCAGGCATTCCACATTAAATGTTCTTTTTTCGGCCAAAGTTTAGTTTCCCGTTATTTGATTGAGCACTTTTTTTCCGATCTTGTGGTAGAAGTTATGAGTTTCCCACTTTAAAATCCTTGATTATCAACTCATGGTAAAAACAGAATCTAGGATTTTCTCGAGGGGGGTTCTTAAAATATTTCAAAAATTGTGCAAGTTTTTATAGCTCGACCAAATTGATTTCCCGAGCTCTCCCAAAACACTGCGAAGACCCTTTTTTGCAAAAAATTACTGCATTCGCTTCCCCTAAGTTTTAGTACTAATCAGCTGGCCAAAGGCGACTTTAGAAAAAGTTATGGTCGGCCGAAAATGAATGCCGTTAAATAATAACAAAGGGGGCTCTTTGGGTAGTCAGTGACTCAAATCACTAAGCAGATGGGGAAAGGTTGTCCGCGTCACCCCACGCCCCTTCCCTAAATCTACTTATCGGCCTTGTTACTAATACTACATAACTGAACCATTGCTTTTAATAACTTTCTTTTTGCAGCATGTGTGGCATTTCACGCAGCACCACGTTAGTAGTTGCGTACTTAATGACAGTCGCAGACATATCATGGCAAGATGCCCTCAGGTGTATCAAATACAACAGGTCCACCGCCAATCCCAACCTCGGTTTCCAATCACAACTCCAGAAGTACCAGGAAACCATCTTAGAGCAGGAACGAAAGAGGGTCCAGACTCTTTTTCCGACATACGACCCTTTGAAAGATCAACTTCTTCTAAATCGCAGTCTGAAAGCATACGAGAAGTACTGCAAAAGTATGGATGAAAATATTTTCCCCGTACCTCCAGCGGGTAAAAGGCGGTACTCATGGGCCGTTGAGAAAGAGTTATCAACAAAGTCACCTTCCCAGCATACAAAACAAGTGCCTGGTTATGGGGAGCCTTGTCTAGAATCAACTGTTCCTGAATTACCGTCGGCGTCAAGTACTTCAAAACCCGAGCGTAGATATAGTTCAGCATTAAGTTTTCCCGCAAATGTACCAAAATTTACCATAAAAAATGAAGGTCGCGAATCGAATGTGTCATTAGCCGGTCAAATTGATCGGAGTTCTGACCAATCACGTCTCATTTCTACAACACCAAATAACCCGTCGTGCGATGAAAAGAAGCAAAAAGGAAGCGAAACGGATGACAATCGAAGTATTCGCTCAACGAGCCATAGCGACAATGTTTTGTCACAATTTCACCGCCTATCTGTAAAACAACCTCAGTTCGATACCTTATCAGTGCACTCCGATATTTTGCCTCTGACATCAAGTGCTTCTGGTTCATCTTCAATTATGAGTCAGAATCGAAGAAAAGAATCGCCTGAACGCAGGAACAGAAAGAAAAGCTCGCCTGTAAAGTTTGAGGTAGGCAGCTCGCCTAGTTTACAACGAAGTGCAGGTGTTTATCGTTCCTTTAACGAAAATCAATACCAGCGATCTTTGCAACGAATAGACTCGGGCGAATATTATGATGATTCGGATTTCAACAGTAGCGAAGAGAAAAGTTATCATCGACGGAGAGCCGAAACAACAATTTGCTATCGTAAATCGAAGTCACATGGCGAGCCTTGTGAGGACTATCTTGAAGTGCAATATCATGAATCTCGGTGGATTCCGAGTAGCGTTGACGACGAAGATTACGATGCTGAAACGGATGAGCCGAGCTTTCACCACCCTAGATCCAGAGTAACCCGGTCCAGAAAATACTCTGACCTTTGCCCAGAACGAACTTACCCGAACAGTACGCCGAGTTCACCTAGGCTAAGAGCCGAAAGTTCACTTGGTCGTCAAATCCGAAACCGCAATTCATCTGCAAATCAGTTCACACGTCAGTATGATTCGAGTTCATATGCACATGCATGTCCTGTTGGGGAACCGAAATTAGCACGTGCAATGTATTCGAGACGAGAACACGACTTGTGCACGACGAGTCGGCACCCACGAGACGCGAACAAAGACGAACTTGGAAGGGACAGTAAATCCAGAAGGTCCACCCAATCGTTGTCCAGTTCAAGACAGTCGATAAATTATCAGTTTTAAAGCACTTGTAAACTATCACTTTCAAAATCACTGACAGTATAGTTTTTCCACCTGAGTTTTTATTTTGAATGCTTTCAGGAGGCTCTCGTATTAGAAGTCAAATAAGAGGGGCTCTTTTGTCATGCGAGAGTCAGTGAACATGTTGGGTTGGGTTATACCAACGTAATATAAATGCGTCTACAGCGTAATTGAAGTTTAAATACAAGTATCGTAAATTCTTGTCGCTTAGAAACTTATCTTTTTCTATAAGTTTAATAATTTGAAAATTATAAAATGCTTATTAAATTATTTAACTAGCTATTACATTTTTCAATTGGATGCATTTTTTTGACATCACAGAAAAAGTCTAAGATGTTTGAGTCTCAGAGACATATTTTAGTTTTCTGCCCTTTTTTGCTATTTGTAGAGCTACAAAACGTTTTTATGCTATTTTTTAGTAAATTGACAGTTGCTAAAAAAGTAAGTAAAAGTTTGTGAAGTGCTGCCACAGAGTTACCTTTCATTCAACTTCATAGATCGAAAATTTGAACTGAACGATCATCTACAAAATTATTCCAAATTCTATCAGTGTGTGAAATTCAACAAGTCGATTCGAGTAAGGAGTTTTAAAAAATGTTGATCAAAAGTAGGTCAAAAATCTTAATATTATTTCTAATCCTCTGCAAAAAATATTAATGAACTTATGATGATCAAAATGCCATGAATTGCGTCTTATATTGCCTTAATGAGACAAACTAATGTTGCCTATATTGACTTGTTAGCAATTTTTAGCGATTAGTTAAACGAGTTAGTTAAATAATGGCAAAACTGAATTTTAGGCCCATAATATTAAATTTTAAATGTTAAAACTTGAGTCGTATATGGAATTATTGAGGAGACCAAAACAAGACTGCTCGTATATCAGGGCGAAGCCCTGAAGATTCCGACTGCCCCTTAATCCATATCGAATAGTTTTTGGGAAAAAAACTGAAAATACTACAAGTTTAGACAATATCAAAAATGAATTGAGAAAATTTGAGTACCAAATCAAGACGACCGATTAGCTAGCCTTAATTCAATTTGGAACAATTTTGTTTTGAGGGATAATTTGCCACGCATAAAAACTCGTGTTGTGCTTTCAGTATTATGAATAAAATTTCAAAACGCGCATAAATTAGTCCAGAGCGTGGCCAAGTTGGCAATTTTCAAACTCCTGAAACTTTGCACAAAATGATCGGAGGTAAAGTATTTTTTTTAAATATTTGATTTGAGGGAGAAACTATTTTTTCGATTGCCGAAAGTTGACTGAAAAGAAAAGCACCTCACACAAATATTCCGTTCTCTTCGAAAGTCGAAACATTTGGCTCATTGCCTCTATTCAATTTGAAAAAATTTTGTAGAGCGGGATAATTCGCCACGTGTAATATATAAATCGAGCAGTTTAGAAGACTCTTGGCAGAATGCTATAAAGGTGTGCACATCTGACTGGGACCATGCAGATCATAGAATCAATCGCTCTAGGGAGCATAGAGTTTTGTGAAATTGTTCTTAATAAAAAAAGTTCCAGAGCATATTGTTCTCAATTTTTTTGAAAGCCTGAGCAACTAGAAATACCAGCGCGTTCTAAAACTTGCAAAAAGTGACAGTTGAACTGTAATCAGAGAATTACAAGAATTGTGTAGCTGGTTTCTCAAAATTAGTTAACTTTAACAGAAAAGTATCACCATAAATTTGTCTGGAAATTCAAAGATATTTAGGGTTATTTACTTTTTACTTCAAAATTCGAAAATTGAAGTGTTTTTTTTTAAATAGGTCTCTTTTTTCTGTTTCCTTGCGTTCATAGACTCTTTTTGATCGATATGTTGGCTTTTTGATCGATATGTTGGCTATTTTTGTGGTTTGATTAGTTCCAATTAGACTAATTTGGGACAAATAGCACGCATTTTTTTGTCCTATTAGAGCGTTTGTGTCGAAATGAATAATTTCAAATAGAATTGAGGCAGGCTATTTGGTTTTTTATTACGTTACCATACACGAAAGTTATCATCTGGCGTGGCGGGGAATAAGATGGAGAAAATAATCAAAAGGAAATTCAGATCTTTTCATTTTTCCAAAAACTAAATAATTTTTAAAATTAAACATGAACCATTTTTAAATTCTTCCATTGGGACGTTAAAGGGAATAGGAATAATTTGGGTTTCCTAATACGATAAATCAAATTAAACACTCACTCAGTGGCACACTAAAGTGTTGTCGGAAAAGTCTTAAAAGCTTACTCGAGTAGCATGTGAACTTCCAGCATCTACCTTAGCTCGTTAGGTACAAATGTATCGTGCATGCTTGGAACGGTAACAGTCAACGAAGGAACTAACTGCGACCAGAAATTGTACTTCAGGAAAATAAATGTTTTCTGTTTTTGTAAAATCAAAATTTTTAACTTCAAAATTCGAAAATTGAAGTGTTTTTTTTTAAATAGGTCTCTTTTTTCTGTTTCCTTGCGTTCATAGACTCTTTTTGATCGATATGTTGGCTTTTTGATCGATATGTTGGCTATTTTTGTGGTTTGATTAGTTCCAATTAGACTAATTTGGGACAAATAGCACGCATTTTTTTGTCCTATTAGAGCGTTTGTGTCGAAATGAATAATTTCAAATAGAATTGAGGCAGGCTATTTGGTTTTTTATTACGTTACCATACACGAAAGTTATCATCTGGCGTGGCGGGGAATAAGATGGAGAAAATAATCAAAAGGAAATTCAGATCTTTTCATTTTTCCAAAAACTAAATAATTTTTAAAATTAAACATGAACCATTTTTAAATTCTTCCATTGGGACGTTAAAGGGAATAGGAATAATTTGGGTTTCCTAATACGATAAATCAAATTAAACACTCACTCAGTGGCACACTAAAGTGTTGTCGGAAAAGTCTTAAAAGCTTACTCGAGTAGCATGTGAACTTCCAGCATCTACCTTAGCTCGTTAGGTACAAATGTATCGTGCATGCTTGGAACGGTAACAGTCAACGAAGGAACTAACTGCGACCAGAAATTGTACTTCAGGAAAATAAATGTTTTCTGTTTTTGTAAAATCAAAATTTTTAAAATTGTTTTCGTAGTTTTCTTCCTTGTTCTTCCTAAAACTTTTTAATCTATTTTTCAAGTTATTTTGCTTAAGCATAAAAAATTCATTCAGTGGTTTTTAAGAAACCTGAAAAGCCTTTAAAATTTAGAAAACTTTTAAAATTTGGCTTTTGAAAAAGTGGCAATAGTGGGTAATCAGCGTGTTCACGGTACCAAATATATTATAACACGTCGGCTGGCTTTATTCCACTTCCCGTCTGCAAAAAATGTTAGATACTGCAAAAAAGTGTTTTCGCTGTAGCTAAATGTGTGTTTTTCTTTGCTTATTGCAAAATGCGTGATGATAAGATAAAAAGATGGAACAACAAATTTGTTCACAATAGATAACTTCGCCGCCAGGCAATGTTTCAATAAACTATGACAAGTTTAACTATAAGCTGTGACAAATTATGACAAAGTTGGTCAAATAAACTAATTAGTTATTTGAAATTGAATGGTGGGTTGGTTAGAGTGGGAAATCGCCCGGAAGTGCACGCTTTTTTCGCAAAATTTAATGGGTCTTTAGTTAAACGGTGCAAAGCAAAGTGGTGCACCTAGTGCTTATCTTACAAGACCAAGCAGTGTTTTTGAATTGTAAGCGGATTCTGCAACAAAGCTGGACAAATTTTCTTGCGGAATCCTCAACAATGCCAATTTTTGGGCTTTCTAACTGTTTTTAAATTCAGAGACAAATGGCTGTAACACTAAAACTCAAATGTTGCTCAAGAAACAAAGTTTGCACAATCCAGAACAAAATTTGCGGAATTCACAAACAAACAACCCAACTTATGAGTGTTTGCGCTGTCGCGAAATCTGCATTTAGAAAACGGAATTGACTAATTGCACGTGGAGTTCAGTAACATATGGATAAGTAATTAAGCGCAAAAAAATAACTTAACATCACAAAAGAAACCTCCGGTTTTTGCGTTGATAGTTATCAGGGAACTAAAGCACAATTGCGTTTATTTACCATTTTCAAGGGTCAAAACCAGTGGCGGATCTAACATTTTCTCGAGGTCGAACAAATTTATTTACCATTTTCAATGGTCAAAACCAGTGGAGGATCTAGGATTTTCTCGAGGTCGAACAAATTTACTTACCATTTTCAATGGTCAAAACCAGTGGCGGATCTAGGATTTTCTCGAGGTCGAACTAATTTACTTACCATTTTCAATGGTCAAAACCAGTGGAGGATCTAGGATTTTCTCGAGGTCGAACAAATTTACTTACCATTTTCAATGGTCAAAACCAGTGGCGGATCTAGGATTTTCTCGAGGTCGAACCTTTTTTTTAGGTCGATCAAATCGATTTTTCAGTTCTCCTAAAGCACTAAAAAGACGCTGTTTTGGCCAATTTCTTTGTGCCGCAGGCAAATTTTTGAAAAAACAGGTTAAAAAAAGTCACGTTTTGGAAAATTTTGACAAAAAATCGCGTTATTTTGGCGCGCGCTCTCCCTTAAAGTTTGTATATTGGCGCCAAAGGCGCCTTTAGAAAAAGTTTAGGATTGGTCGGCCAAAATTGGATTTCCTAAAAATTACCAAAGGGGGGACCCTTTTGGTTGGCAGGGGGTCGAATCCCTGAGGGAAGATGGCGTCCGCAACCCCGCCCCCAGCTAAAACCGCCCATCTGGTCAAAGCATTCTTCAGCAAATAAAGACGCAGAAATTGTATAGAAAATTTTTTCAATATTTAAGAACCAGTAATAAGCATTGAGGGAACGATTAAGAGTTTTCACCGTTTGGGACCTTCACAATTTTCCATGAGCTGAAGAAGCTTACTTCTAGTTTAAAAAAAATAATCCAATCAAAAATTCATATTTTTTTATCGTAAACATTCACAAATTTCGTGAAATATAACTTTGTTTCAAGGGAAGTTTTTAAAGCTTAAACCATCTTTAGTTGGTTAAAGAGGTACATGCGCGATTTCAGTCAGCCAATGCTTAAGATGTGTTAATTTTT